ACGCACAGACTAGCTTGGTAAGTCATCTTAGATGAACTTGCCATCCACCCCACAAAGCAGGTACTCAGACCTGTATCAGGGTGAGATAGGATACGAGGGTGTCAAGGCTGGGAGGGTGGGAAAAACGAAAAGCACTTGAGCCAAAATGGCATCAAGTGTGAGTCCTACACTTACATGTTTCACATCCCAAAGAGTCCCTACCCAACCAGGCCAGTCACCGTGGTGGATAAGAAACATGAAGGCAGGCTCATACGAAAGCAGCATCTCTTTTCTCAAGGCCTCAGATACTCACAGAGATGGACAGGAGTGTTATTTTAATAAAATAACACTGGCAATCAGTCGTGGTATCAAACACACAGACTAGCTTGGTAAGTCATCTTAGATGAACTTGCCATCCAACCCACTGTAACATAACAACTATCACCCACTGTCCATAATGGGAGACACGAGGCCAGGCACACTGGGGAGCTTGGAAAGATTGTGTGAAAAGGTGCGACACTTGGTCCCTGCTCCATTGATCTAGGAGACAAACGGGACAGGCCCAAAGGTTTGTCACCATCAACCCTTGAGACCCACACCCGTACCCGAAAAAGTAAGGCGCTAAGTGGAGAAGCAATTACGTGAGTCGCCACAGAGCCATGGTAGTGACAGGCCACGCCGAGCTTCAGCTGGGTGGAGGCGCTGAGCACATGGTTGCCAACTGATGATGACCCGCGGGGGAGCTGCACAGTTCACCCCAAGAGGAGTCATATAATGCCCCTTAATCAGGCAGCCGAGCCGGAGCGTAGTAGTCTCAACGAGCTCAAGACATGCCACCCTGGTTGCCAGCCCACGGGGGAACTGCACAGTTCACCCCAAGTGGAATCAAACAGGGCTCCAAGCACGCAGCCTATAACCGGAGTGCGTCATTCTCAGCTAGCTGAGGATACGCCACCATGCTCGTCAGAATGTCAAGGTGAAGTAGTCAACCTTGGTCAATTGATGGGAGTCTGCACGCAGTGTAGCACCCGAAAATTTCCGGGTTGCGGCCTGCAAAACCAGCACACCTGGACAACATCCGATTAAGATCACCCCGCAGTTTGGCTGCACCAGCGAGGGGTCAAAACGGGGGTTTCAAGGGCTGGGAGCAGCCTTTGCGGAGTGAAAGTGAGACGGACACAGATCAACCCTTCTGTGACCAGCCAACATGCGCAGGGGCACCACAGTGACGCCGATGCAGCTCAGGGCAAGTGACATGGTGAAGGTCCACTGAGCCGTGTATGATGCCGTGAGCCGTCACACAATGAACTGCGAGTTCGGTATCGAATACACAGCCGCCAAGACCGAGCTGGCAATGGCACTCAACAGCAGTGCCAAGCCGGAGGAATCGATTGGAGTGCACCACAACACTGTCGAGGTCACAAGCGAGACCTTGCCTACAGCAGGCAAACCGCCAACCGATAGCGCCAACTCTGGCTGCTTCTGTTGCCAGAGGTGCAAGAACCTCGTGATCAACGCAGCCTTGAGCAAGCCCGAATGCACCACCCTGTGTCCAGCGCAGCGCCCGTCCATCGACCATGTAGCCCGGCGCTGTGGTGCAAGGCCGCCGGCACTCGGCACCTCCACCCAGCTGCCCAATGACTGTTGGTCCGTAGGGTTCAGGCGACAGATTTGCCCCAAAGTGGGGAGGAACCTGCGCAACCTGTTGAAGCCCACCACTTGCGCTTGCAAGGGGTCAACCCCGACCTCAATGAGGGCGCCACGGAGCAACTCCAGAAAACGTCCGGCTCATCTTCTTGGAGACCGCCTAAGCGGCGAAACCTGCCAAAGCTAGTCCGCCTGGAGCTCCACAGAGGGCCAGAGGTAACCAGCTCCAGGGGAAGTTTGTGCTGAACAAGTCAAGCGCGATTTTCAACACGCTGGCTCCCCGGAAAAGCAGGTCAGGCATGGAGGCCGTACACCCTGCTTATGGGCCTGACCCTGAGAGCAACGGAAAATGAGGAAGGTGTCCGCCTCACCCATGAAGGTGGAGTGTTGAAAATGCTCGAATCGAATAGGCGGAACAACAGGTTCACCATCTCCCATGGTTGGAGCTCTTCGGTTGGACCGTGGGGCCCAAAGGCAGCAACTTGTAGGGCTTCAAAAGCCAGTGGTCGAGCTCAAAGGGGAGGGCGAAGTTCAGGCGGTACCACTGCAGGGCATGGAACATACTCGGAGCCACTGTATAGGGCCTCCAGCTGCCACCATCCGAAAAAAGGCGCTCATCTGGAGCGGGGTAGGCGCACGGACCGAAAACCCGTTCTCCATGACAAAGGTCCGCTAGCGGCGCAGCGCAGCCATGAGGGCACCAGCCCTCTGTGACGGCAGCCTGCTCGCAGCCGGCATGATGACCTCTTTGAGCAACTGGGCGGACAGGGTCTTGCATCATAACTCTATCAACCCCCAACTCCTGGAGATCGAGGAAGTCATCCAGAGAAGCGCAAACCTTGTGGGCATAGGGGTCCTGGGGACCATCCGTGCGCAAGGGAGGAGCTGCGGGGCCATGGCCCGTGGCAGTCAGGTGCCGGATCTGAACACGCTGCGGGCGGACCGTGGTATCCGTCCCGGACGGAACCGGAGCAACGGAGGTACAGGATCGCCGGTAGTCCTCGATAAGTTGCTGCAACTTGATCCGAGTACTGTGAGCTCTGCCAGAAGCCACCGTCCAGAATGCAGCCACCCCGAACTCCTGGTCGACCGGCAAAGGCCCCCTCGCACGTGCCAACTCGGCCAGTAGCTCCTGGCTGCTACCCCATAGCGCAATGACATCGCTGCAGGTCTGGGCGCCTAACAAAACCAGCAGCTCACGGAGACTGTCCGGTTTGTAGACTCGCCAGCTCGGGTTCCATCGGCTGGCCTGGTCGAATCGCCTCCACAGCAGGCGGCGGAGCACTCCCGGGTCTCATGCTCGGCGAACTGGAAGGTGGCCGCGAACGCGGCAGCGGCGACCGAGTCCGCCCCTTTCGCGGAGGTCGTTCAGGGCCCCGGACCCCGAGACGGTGGCGGTGTGGACGGCATCGCGAAAAAACGAAAAGCTCTGACCCACGCTTGAGCCAAAATGGCATCAAGTGTGAGTCCTACACTTACATGTTTCACATCCCAAGGAGTCCCTACCCAACCAGACCATTCACCTTGGTGGATAAGCTCCAACCTGCTAGCGATGGCCTCCAACCTAATAGCGATGGCCTCCACCCTGATAGCGATGGCCTCCAACCTAATAGCGATGGCCTCCAACCAAATAGCGATGGCCTCCAACCTAATAGC